TGTCCCTGCTGCTGGGCTGGGTGTCCCCTGAGGTGGAGGCAGTGCTCCTGGTGTCCCTGCTGCTGGGCTGGGTGTCCCCTGAGGTGGAGACAGTGCTCCCGGTGTCCCTGCTGCAGGACTGGGTGTCCCCCGAGGTGGAGGCTGTGCTCCCAGTGTCCCTGCTCCCAAGCCCAGTGCTTCCTCAGGATGCCGTCTGATCCCTTCACATGCCTGGGTTTCTCCCCTACGGACCCTGCACCTGCCGAGGAAGAAGCTCCCAAACCGGGCAGAGCGAGAGGCTTGTCCTCACACATCTGTGACTCCATTCCTGCAGCAGGATGAGCAGCGAGCTGCATTTGATGCAGTTTCTCAGTGAAAACGGGAATGAGGTCACTTCGTTTTTGCAGCCCTATTCATTAGAGGTACCTGCAGCCAAGGTCCCACCAGACCCAGCGTGTCACGGTGTTGGCAGTCGGGCAGTCACCAGGGGTCCTGCTTGCACCATGTGGACAGCCGCATGGTAGCAGCCCTCCCTCCATGTCCCCAAGGGGCTGGAAGTGGACCAGCAGGACCAGAGTGGGGAGTGGATGACAGCAGGGACAGCTTGCTAACTGAGCCGCATGCTGGTCTGTGCCTCCCGCTCGCTGGAAGACTCACAGGCGTCCTGCACGGAGCATGCGAGGAGGAAGGAGATGAAGTACTACAGGGGCCCCGTGGCCTTGGAAGGGGCCAGCCCGCTCCGCCCGGCCTCGCCGCCTTCCTCCTCGTGGCAGCGTGGTGACAGCGCGGGCGTGGAGGCTGTATTTTAATTGAGGGTAACACTCTATTTGTGTGGATGCATTTTCTGTTTCAGGACTGGCAGCTGTTGCTATCAGAGCTGTTGGAGCCACTGGTCCAAATCATGTCTTTCTGCGTCCTTCCTTTCAGACTCCTTCACCAGACAGGTGTTATGGAAGCTGCTGAAGGCTGTCAAAGTCGGAGAGGTGGTTTCTTACCAGCAGTTAGCGGCCCTGGCGGGCAACCCCAGAGCAGCGCGGGCAGTGGGCGGCGCCATGAGGAACAACCCGGTGAGTTCCCGTGCCCGTGGGTGGGGGGCCGCGGTCGTGGGGGGCTGTGCGGACGCTGGGGGTGAGACGTCTGATGAGACGCCTGTCTGAGCAGCCTGTGCTGGGGTGGGTCGGGAGGTGGGTGGGTCGGACCGCTGTCCCGGATGCTTCTGGAAGCGGTGGGGGTGGCCACTTCCTTTTTGGTGCAGGTGGTAAGGAGGCATCCACTCCCACCCCACTGCCCACTCCACAGAAGCAGCCCCTTGATTTCATTTAGATGTTACTGAGCACCTTGTCACCACAGTAGTCACAAAGGAGAAGAAACCTAGTGAGTCATTCATTCATTTATTCATTCATTCACACTTGCAGCAAAGAGGTGCCGGGAGCGTATTGATGCCAGACGCTTACCCAGACAAATGGCTACTGCGTGGACTGACATTCTAGAGGGTGTCATGGGTGGGGCAGGGGGTTGCAAATCCAGCCCCACCTCCAGGGGCCTTACTCTGTAATTGTGGTTGGGGTCTCGGGAGGGCTAAGCAGTGGCAGGAGAGTACACAAGGCCCAGCGCCTTCTGAAGGGACAATTTTATTATAAAGGGAAGAAAAAGAAAATGAGCTTAGAACATAAAGTACAATTTTACCGCATCTGGGTGGTTAGGGTGGCAGCTTACGAGAGTGTGGCCTCTCCTCCCCCCCGTCCCCACCCTGCTGTCTTTAATAGACAGGTTCATGAAGCACACTGTGGATGGCACCCTGAAACCGCAGGGCTCTTCCCTAAACTGACGCCAAGCCTCTGATATGACGGAAGGGTACCGTACCATCAGGGAGAGCATAGGTGAGCGTGGTGACACGTGGGGCAGATTAACCAGCAAGCAAGTAAGCCCAGGTGTGCGCCGGCTCACTCGTGCTTACTGAGTAATCTGTGGTGCACAGTTCTCACGTGGGTTGCACCATCCTGCTGTAGTGAAAAACAGGTGAAATTGTGCACCACCGATTTGTAAGTAAGCACAATTAAGCCCATGCTTATCTTGCGTATTGGGTAATCCGTCCCTGGACATGGGGTGGAAATGACTCAAATCAGGTAGACCCCACTCCTGAAAAGATTGCCGTGGCTTTGCTGTGTATTTTCAAAACTATTTCCATCCCTGCTCACAGGGGACACACCAGCGTTTTCACACCCAGCTGCTGCTCCTGCCACCCGGCTGGGCTCCGGCCGCCCCAGGGCAGAGCTGGCATTTCCAGGAGATGGCAATTGCGTCGTCTTTGCACAAAACTGCATTGTTCTTCCCTAAGAAGCCGTGGGCGGGTCTGTAGTGCACGGCATGGCGTGGTGTGCACCCTGATACAGCCCTGTTCCAAAATCCCAGATCGTCAGGAGTGGCGTGCACAGCACACCCCCCCGCCCCCAGCGCCCTTGGTGTCTGCATCCCGAGGGTAGGTGGTGACAGGTGCCTTACGTTATCCATTTTTCACCTGTCATGGTCCATGGTGCCACGCCCCACTGCGTTATCGGCCCTCGTGGAGGTTCAGCGGTAGAATTCTCGCCTTCCCTGCAGGCGGCCCAGATTCAGCTCCTGGCCAGTGCACCTCGTATGCAGTCACCACCTGTCCGTCCGTGGAGGCTGGCGTGTTGCCAGGATGCTGAACAGGGTGGAATTTCCAGGCTAAGACAGACTGGGAAGAAAGGCCTGGCAAGCTACTTCCAAAAATCAACAAGGGGGAAAACCCTATGAATCACAACAGTCCAGTCCACAGCCACCCATGGGGATGGTGCAGGACTGGGCCGTGTTTTTACTCCATTGTGTGTGGGGTCAGCGTGAGTCCGGGGCTGGCTCGACAGCAGACAACAACTCCATTATCAGAAAACGCCACCTCCGTGCACCGTTGAGGTTCTTGTGTTTTCAGTGCTTGTGGGTATTTTTGAATCAAACTTCTGCAGGTGGCTTTTGAAGCGTCCCTGTAAAGTTTAAACTGCAGCTTCCATCTGGAAGGTCTCCATCTTCTCACATGTTGTGACTCAAGGTTGAGGACTTGACCCGGCTACAGATAACGGCAGCCTGGGCGCTTCGGTGTTACAGCTCCCCAGAGTCCCTCCTGAGAACAGCAGAAGGTGACATTCTTTTGTGCTCTCCTTCCCTGTCACTGAACTTACTCTATTCTGTAAACACTCACCCTTTGTCCCAGCTACCCCGCCCATTTCAGACAGGATTTTGTTATTCATGCCTTTTGGGTGACATGGGTCATGCCCACCCCTCCAGTGAGGTGCACGCCTGGTGCCGCGCGCACTCACCTGTAGAGAGAAGCAGGTGCCATGCAGCCTTCGCCCTGTGTGTACAACTCACATTTGCTCTAAAAATGAGCTCCGCTAACCAATATAAACAGTTACTTACGTCTGAATCAGAGATGCCGTCACGGTGTCGTGATTGCGCCTGTGGCAAGATTCGGAAACATTTACAGGCGGAATCTCTCCCCGACTATTAATCTCTATGAGTGTCTCTGTTCAGACATGGTCTCAGTCACTGGAGTTTATACAGGATGTAACAGGATTTCACAGGGGTTTGATCCTGTGACATCTACAAGGCCACACGTCGACTCTCCTGGCTTGTCCGAGAGCCTCCTGGTGAAGGAGGGACAGAGTCCAGCGGGACGGCTCCACAGCACCATGCTGTCCCACTGCTGGGCATCCACCTTCTCTGGACGCCAAGGGCCGTCGGGGTGGACGACGAGCCTCCCTCTGTAGTTGGGTCACGCAGTGACCTTCACCCTGATGGGAAGGTTGAAAAGGTGCCAGCAGCCACTGTACCTGAGAGATATCTCAAGTTATGCCAGGGACTTACTGATGAAGATCAAAGACTATAGCCTTCAGTGTGGATTACACCTCAACATAAAACAGAAATCCTCACAACCGGACCAATAAGCAGCATCATGATAAACAGAGAAAAGATCAAAGTTGTCAGGGATTTCATTTTCCTTGGATCCGTGAAGGTCAAGGTGCTGCTGGAGCCCGGGGGTGCTCCGCCGTGCCTGCCTTGTTGAGGAACACCTCTCACGCGTCTGAAGAGGACGCGTGTGCCCGTGAGGAAGGCTGGTGGGAACTGGGTCTAGAGGGTCACCTTACGCCACCCGGCCTGTCCTGCCCTGATTCCCCAGGTGGCCTGCAGTCGGCGTGGACACGCACCGGCTCAGATTCCAGCACTTGCTGTCGGCTGCGTGGGTTTCAGGGTCCCCACGTGGCACAGACGGTTTGCACTTGACTACTAACTTAAACATTGGCAGTTCAAACCCACCCAGGGGAACCTCAGAAGGAAGGCCTGGTGATTACAGCCAAGAGAGACCTATGGAGCACAGTTCTCCTCTGACGCGCAGGGTCACCGTGAGTAGGAGTAGACTCGATGACACCTGGTTCGTGTTTGGTTCGGTTGTTACGAGTTTCTTTCACCCACCAGATTAAGGAGGGTTTTTGCTGTCTGGGCGTTTCCTTCCATCTTAGGGATTCCATTTCTCCAAAGTTCTCCTTGAAGGACTCGCTGGCCTGTGTAAGGTGGACGGCAGCCTTCTGGAAGGCTGTCTCCCACCACCTAGCTTGAGCACATGGTCTGTTTTCTCAGATATCAGAGAGAACGCTCCCACCAGCCCGCCCCAGCATGCAACACCCCTGCACTTCATCCTCAGATAGAATTCACTAAATGCAGTTCAAAGGCAATCAATACCTTATGCGAGTGTTTCCCCACCTTCTTCTAAACAAACGCATTCCTGAGGAGTTAGTTTATTCACAGATCGCCATGAGCGCTAATGACCCCCGAGTCTGGTCCCGTCAGTCACCGAGATGGCTGGTGATAAAGATTTAGTACCATGTTCTAAGTGTCAGGCCTGTCAGTGATGCTGAACCATTTGACCAGAAGAAAAAAACGCACAGGGAGCTATTGATTACAGCTTCCCAGTGTCACTTGTTCACCAGGATTTAGGTATTGATGAGGCTGGGAGTGAAAACAAGCTCTTTCCCTTGTGGTCCGCTACCCAGAAGAACAAAGGCGGAGCTGGAAAAATATTCAGCCGGTAACAGGATCAGAGGGGTTCCAGTATTGATTGAAAGGCCCCTTCATGTTATTTTTGTTGGAGACAAATCTATGGGTTTGGAAGTTTTATAACATTTGAGAAAGGGTCGGTGTAAGTGATGGATTCACGTATCGGATGAATTAGATTTCACAGCATGAAGATTTCAATGCAGCTGTGATATTATGAGCCTCTTCGTTATTGATAAAAATTACATTGTATGCAGCGGGGGCTTTAAAGATGAGGGCACAGAGGGTACCCTTCCTTTGAAAATGTCCTGAGGGCCCCCATAAATTCCAGCAAGTTTCATTATTTTAATAGTCTGAAACCTGCCACAGAAATTAGCACAAACAGAAGTAACGGCCCCCGTTTCTAATGGTGAAAGTCATGCGTGTTGGTCAGAATCACTCATTGTCCACCACTGCCTAGGTAAGGTGAAGACTGTCACAGAGGTCATAGCTGTCCTTGTCATAACCGGTACCCCATGCCATCAGTCCTACTGTGTGCACTGATATGTAGAAGTAAATATATATATTGGAGCCCTGGTGGTACAGTGGTTAAGAGCTCAGATGCTAACTAAAAGATCAGCAGTTTACCAGCTGTTCCTTGGAAACCCTATGGGGCAGTTCTACTCTGTCCTTTAGGATCACTATGAGTCAGAATCAATTTGATGGCAATGGATTTGGTTTTTATATGTATATGTATGTATATACATACACACACAGTGATTAGAGATGATAGATATGTTACATTTCTCACTTCTTTAATTTCACAGTTTTTTGGGAGAAAGGGAAGAAAATCAAAGATCAGTCGTGAAATGTGCTGCTACATAGGAAAGTTGAATTTGTGCCTAAATGCTTGTAAAACGATTGAACTAAATGTCTCTCTATCAATCAAAGACTTCAATTGTGTATTATCTAATAATGTCCTCGCAACATTCATTAACGTGACTATTATATTTGATAACAATCATCAGAGTAAGTTTTTCATTCTTAAAATGTTGTTACTCCTTCTAAGAAAATTGGAATTATATGCTGTTTGTGGGATTTCTAGATATTATTACTTGTTACTTTGTGAAACTGTACAGTGAAAAGGAAAAGTCAATTCTCTGTCTTCATCAACACCATCATCACCATCCCCACTGTCACCATCAACATCACTGTCATCATCAATCACCATCCCCACTGTCACCATCAACATCACTGTCATCATCAATCACCATCCCCACTGTCACCATCAACATCACTGTCATCATCAATCACCATCCCCACTGTCAACATCAACATCACTATCATTATCACCATCCCCACTGTCAACATCAACATCACTATCATTATCACCATCACCCCCATCAACGTCACCATCACTGTCATCACCATCACCACCATCACCCCCATCAACATCACCATCACCCCCATCAACATCACCATCCCCACTGTCAACATCAACATCACTGTCATCATC